AAGATCTAACATCGTATTACATTTATAAAAGGACAAGCAAGAAAGCAGCGATGGTTGCTTTACCCACCTCAATGTCCTGAATGATTTTTGGATAAAGAGAGCGGTAGTATGAGTTTGGAGGAACTTCTGTTGTGCGGTTCTTGAAAAGGTATTTTTCCCTGTGAAGGAAACAGCAATAAACATCCCTGATAAACTGACATAAACAAGCATTTTCATAATTCAAGGCCAAATAAGATGTACAAGACAGTATAAATGGAGGTTCCCAGCATGTCTAGTGGAGAATTACACCACTGAAAGATAATGATCAGGTTGTTCTTAAACCTCATGTATAAATGAGGGGGTTTGGGGGGGGGGGTCATATCATATGTAAACGGTCATATCAGCACTGTGACTCACCACTGGTGTCTCTCTGAAAGGCCCTTCCACAGTGGGTCTGTCCGAACCATCCTCTCGATCAGCTTCTTCCACAACATGCCTTCGGATATCACACGCTGCCATTCTTTACACACCAGCTCAGCCGAACAAAGCGAGCGTGCGTCCAGGAAGGACAAGATGTTCTCTGCTATATGATCCAGACCCTGAGCTGGAAGACAAATTGAGATTGAGTTTAAATACCAGGGTGTAAGATTTGAAAACTACACAAGCAGGATTACAGTGAAAAAAAAAAAAAGTTAAAGAATCTCTCATCTTTCTTAACGTCAGCATAAAATCACATTCACATACATTTTATTTTATTGCAATTGAAGTGATTTCAAATCAAGAGATACTAAAACAGGTCAAGACATACATGGTCTATTTAATCTTAAGGTTATGTTTTATAATGGAGTTGGGCATACCCTCCATCAAAAATAGCATCTTCAGAATAAGGACTGTGCGTGTTACCTGGCAGTGCCGTAATGAAGTCCCTTTGGAGCATGGGTTTGAGGTAGGAGTTTATGTGGCCATGTTGGTAATGGCACATTCGTGAGATCAGGTGTTCCACAAACTCCACCTGGTCCGCCTCAGACCACTGATCAAAGAGCTGGATGCACACATCCTTCTCCTTCTCGTAATTCCCCTCTGACGGCCGCTTCCTAGAGCCTGTCAAGGGTCCATTACTCACCTGAGGACAGATAAAAGTAGGCTGGGAGAATCGTAAAAGGAAAAACAAATAAATAAATATATTAGATGAGACCAAAAAAAAAAATCTGTATTGGAAAGGATTGGGCAAAGGGAAAATCTGAAACATACTAAAATACTATTATAGTATTTCAAGGCAGATGCGTTTACTTGGCAAAAAACAGTGCTGCAGGTGCTCTACTATTAGGGTGCTTTCACACTTGGTTCGATTGCCTGGTCCAAACCTGAGTTTTATTGCTCCCCCCTTCCTGTTTCCCCCGCTGCTTAGTAACAATGGCACAGGAGAAGGCGGCAAAATGCGTAGCATTGCTCTCTTCACTTTTATATTTGTTTTTGAACCGTTGGTTTGGTTTCCAAAGCTTCAGTACATAACTACACTTACGTCTTGTCTTACGAATGTACTGCAAATGCTCTAAAAAATACTGAAGGCAAACAGAAATTAGATAAACAGCTCTCTGTTTGCAGCGTGTCAGTCACGCTTGTCAGGAAAGTGAGTGAAACACAGACAAACACATTTTAAAACTCTGTACCGGCGTTCACTTGAACCATAACCCAGATTACTCCTTTTAAGCAGACTCGGGTATGGTTCTCGGGTGCACACCCGCGTTCGGAAGACAGCGTTCACATCATCCAAATTACCAAACTCTGACGTCAATCAAACCGGGGGCACACCAAAAGAGCTAGTGTGAAAGCACTCTTAAAAGAGCTGCATACAGTTCCTGTCTTCATATGCAATAATAGGAGTTTCTACAAGAAATTCTCATTCTATTAATCCCAAACTCATCCTCACTTGATGTTCTGTACAAACTGTGGAACCCGAGCACTTAAGTGTTCAAACACTTAAAAAAATTTCAAGAAAACTGGCACAAACAAACTTTAAGCAAAACAAGATTGCTTGTTTCTTTGTAGAAAAGTTTAGTTAAAGATTCAAACACTTTCTGGTATTCAATAGTCATGACCTAGTGTGTGGTTACTCTGCTAAAACATCTGTACCAGCTTTAGGGGAACTGATCTCATTCATTCACTAAAATACATTTGGTTTCATTAAAAGTAAACGCAAAAATGTCTCAGCATTGTAAAGTTAGCCCTGAGAAGGGCTGCAGATCATGCCACCTGGTTTCACATGAAATTACTGTTCAAAGGTTTGGGGTCAGTAAGATTTTCTTCTAAAGAAATGAATACTTTCATTCAGCAAGGACACATTCAATTAATAAAAAAATGATACTAAATAATTTTATAATGTTGCAAGAGTTAAATTATGTAAATTGTTCTTTTGAACATTCTATTCATCAAAAAATCCTAAAAATAAATATATACATATATATATTAAGCAGCACAACGATTTTCAACACTGATAATCATCAGAAATGACCAGCAGAGCAGGACGTGTAGATTTATTATGAGTCTCTGTATCAGTGTTGCCAACTGCTTTCAATTGAAAGTAGCTAAAACTGGTAGCTAAATGTCACTAGATCACATCATAATGGCAAATTCACTGATCTATATAAAGATGAATATAGATCAGTGGTCAAGATGAGAACTTGGATAAGGTTTGTCCAAGAAGTTGCTATATTTGTCCCTAAACTTTTGAAAGAAAGTCTCAAAAAGGTGTGGGGAAGTTGCTACATCTAGCTACAAAATTGCTAAATTGGCAACACTGCTCTGCAGTCTATACACAAAACCACATGGTTTGTTATATACAAGCAAAAGCCATTTATCTATCTTCCACAAGCTTCACAACACAAGCAGACAAACTCCAGTGCCTTCACTCCTACCCTTTTCACAGTATCCATGGCAACAAGAAGCAAATCCACTCTGCAAAACTGATTCTATAATGTTATTGTATTGACTAGGAGAGATATTGATTCAGACACAGCCTTATTAATTAAGAGCACATTTAAACAAGTCATACACTTATTTTTAAAGATACTATAAAAATGCTTCAAATTAAGAATAGCAATATTATATTCAAAATGAATAATGAGACCACACATGCAAATCAAGTTAGTTAAAAAAAAAAATTTTAGCTTATTTTTATTGTAAGTCTTTCACAAAATTGCGGTTCAGAAAAGTGTGAAAGAAAAAAACAGTGCGTTTAATAAGAAAACAATTGATTAATAGTAATTAGTTCGCGTAGGCTAATGGTTTGATGTGGTTAGCCACCTAGCCGCTTGCTATAAACGCTGCTTTCACATCAACAATGAACGTTTGTATTTCACAAAAAAAAAAAAAAAGTGTGGTTACAAAAACACAAATATTCACTCATCCAAACACGATTGTTGTATTAGTTGCCGATATTTGCATATTCGCTCCTCTTTCGGCTCAGAAACGTCATTTGAAATTGACAACACAAGCGGTTACTTCCTATTACGCAGCTTTAAAGTCCAGTTCAAATGTGCCCTGAGAAGTAAATGTTGCGTTATTGGGAATGAGACACGAATATTTTAAACACTTTAAAACATAGATAAGTGTTCTGAGACTTTATATGAACCACAACTCGTCTGTGGAACCAAATTATAGGCAGGACTGAGTGGCGCAGAGGCGCCGCAGTGGAGCTCAAGGCACCGGCTGAAGTCGATGAGAGTCGGACTCACCACGATGCCGCGGCAGCTTCCCTTCCTCCTCCTTCACGACTAGCTCAGTAAATACCCTGAGTCCTCACCGAGAACAACTGTTCGCCTTGTCTACTAACGTCTCAGCCGTTGTTTCAAGGGGAAGAAACAAGCAAGAGACGTGAAAACGACTAAGTGAGCCAGCGATACACAGCAGGGCCCTCCCTGTCAGCCGAGCCAGCCATTTCTCTCTCGCTCGCTCGCTCGCTCTCCTCACCCCTCCTTCTCCTCTCAACTCAGACGATCCCTACCCACTCCACGAGCTGGTTATATTCAACCAGGCTGCCCGTATAACCGCTAATATTGATTTCTAAACTCTTGCGAACATACTAGAAAATGATTTTCAAAGCACACCCGAGTACTAACCATCAGCTCTAAGGGTTTGTCCTCCATCTCCGGCTCCATGTTTGTTCCCCGAAACTCGCAGTGAAAATGGAAACCCCGCCCTGCGACACAATCGCGTCACGAAAGGAGGCGGAGAATGTAGGCTTGTGTCTAATTCTCCCATTGGCTGTCAAATAAAAAAACGTGCGGCAAATGGGCGTTGTCCGCGTCGTGATTGGATAATTTCTGCTGCTAAGGTGCAAAGCGGGGACAGACACAGTACGTCATAATCGAAGAGGGGATATTATCTGTAACAACATTCGTGGTTGGTCGACGAATGACAAAAAGGGTTTTGTCCGTTTTGTAATCTGAACAGCGATTGGCTGCCGACTAGTGCTAGGGTAAAGAATGGGGTTATCCCTAATGATTCAGATATTAAGAACATTTCTGATTGTTTGCTGGTGACATCCATGCCTGCGGGCAAATGTTACCATTTTTAAGCAGGTCTAGACCATTTATTAAATTAGTAAACGCATAAAAATTCAGAATAATGTTTACCTTTGCTTTCCGGCTAAATTGCTTATAATTGACTTCCTCCTTACCGTACAAGTGTCAACTTGGCAAGTTAAATAATCTTGTCAAACTCATAAAACTAAACATAAAATCAAATATGCTCGCAAAATAAACAAGGTATAAGCGAAATTTGCAAACAATGAGAACGTTTAATGTATGTGTCCAGATGTAACAAATGATTTATACAAAATAGCTATGGATCAAAGAAAAATTAACAAATATACAACATAACTGCTAAAATATTGTGGGTCCCGTATTTCATTAAATTTTTTTCTCCTTTTATATTTTTGAATTGCATGTTCGATTTAGTAGGCGTCAAAACACCAACCATGCCACAATTGTTAAAGGTCCAAAATATTGATTTGCAGTTTGTCTTTCTAAAACCATTCTGTTGTTAAAATATGACTGGACAAAATGGAAAGAACTTAGAGGCTTGTAATCTGTGGCGGGTCACACACTCCGAGATGTGACTTTTTAAAAGGGAATTAAACAGCCAAACTGACACATACTCACTCACACATCACAGTTAACACAGTATAACCCCCCCACCCCACCCCACCCCCACAATCAGTCCCAAAGGACATTCCCATGCATAAAGCCGAATACCAATGAGTGCTGAAGGCTGGAGCTAAGATTTTATGTTCGGAAACAGCAGGAGGCTGAAGTTAGGGTCCAGATGCTGGTACACTGTGCTGTCATATCTCACAAACGGCAACATTCAGGCACTCATATATAGTTTATTTTGAGAACTAGCATCTCCTGGGGGCTGAGGAAAACAAGTGAGGGAAATGCACTGTGAAAGATGGTTCTCCGTTTTCAAGAAGGGATGGGTCCAGTTACTATATGGTCCATTTGAGAGCAAGAAATACCTCAATGTGGGCACAATGCGATGGGAGGAGCAGGGTGTACCGCTGGCTCAGAGTGCATCACCACCACCACACTGGTTTACAGCAGAAACAAGGCAACAAATCAAGTCTGGGCTAACCGGGAAATTAAAACGCAGGCCTGACAATGGGCTTGAGGTGGCTAGAGGTAAGCAGTACAGATCTAATCATTTGCTACTGCTTTCTTCATACACTGAATAAGAGAAAATATAATACATTTGAATAAAATACAACAGCAGCAGATACCATTATAAAAGGAGAGGCAAACGGAAGAAAAGGAGTGAGATTAGAAGGGAAGAAAAAGTAGATCTGAAAACCTAGAGTGTTTTCATGAAGAGCTGAGGCAGGACAGGCAGACGGGCCATGGCCATGCTGTTGCGATGACCCGGTAATTAGTGAAGAGGAGAAAACTCAGTCTCTTCCAGTCCAGAGATGGAGTCGCTGTATTCTAAAGCCAGGGACACACAGACCATCCGCCATCCTCTCAAATTCTTATTCTCCCTCCTGCTGATTGGATCTCCCTCGCTCCCCTGCCGTTTGCGGGGTAGGTGAAGGGGGAAAATCTTGTATTTGAATTTTGTGTCAGTCCCGACTACCTAGTAGTCATCTAAATCAAAGAACTCATCATCATCTCCCTGGTATTCCATGCCTTGGAAGTCCACCCGGTACCGCAAGATTCCTGAAGTAAAAGAAAAAGGTATTGATTGCAGATATTGATATAATATCTTTCCATTTCCCTACAAATTGTAATCTGTAGAAAGCACTTACCACCGATGCCTCCAAAGCCTTTCACAAACTGTGAACCCTCCTGGCTTTTGTCTGTAACGATTTCCAGCGTGGCCCCAAACGTCTTGTAGTTGTTGGCGAACCACTCTAGCAGCGGCATGCTCTCAATCAGCTCATGCTCCTGACCTGTCTAAAACAAGCACATACGGTACTGTTAACATTATACACCTCCTGCCTGAACCATACATTGGCTAAAATGAAAAGCAAGCATAATGCAAAAGGTGCAAACTCTTAGGAATAAATTTTTTTCTACTTTGGAAATGAGCAAAACAAAAAAGGAAATGTTGAATTTAACAAATTCAGAATGCTCTACGCTAAAAAAAAAGGCTCTTTATTGGCATCAATGGTTACAAGAACCTTCTTCCAGATCCATGGAACAATTCCAATGCACAAAAAGTTCTTTATAAATGGAAAAAGTTTCTTCAGATGATTAAAATATTTTTGGTTACCATCAACTGTTCAGATACTAACATTTTTCAAAATATCATCTTTTGTGTTCAACAGAAGACAGAAACTCAGAGGTTTGGAACAAGTGGAGGATGAGTAAATGATGACAGAATTTTCATTCTGGAAGTTAACTACTCCTTTAATGAGCTGCATGAACTCCACATGATTGTGTGAAACCTGAAGATCATGTTCCTCACCAGGATTTGAGGATGATCCAAAAAGATCCAAGAACATCTGGATCATAAAGGACTTATTTTAGGTCTCTATTTTTAAGCACATTTGTGACATTTGAATCCTAGATATTCAATGCAGTCTTAGGACCCGCAATGTATGATTCTGATAAATCAAAACAGAACTGCAATGAGCTTGGTACTAATGGGCTGATGATAGCCTAAAGATCAAGTGTTTCAAACCTATAGGCTGCTGATCTGATTTCAGGCCATGAGAACATCATTGGTTGTTTGAGTATGGCACTTAATGCCACAAGAAAGTCATTCGGGGGAAGGAGTTACAGCCATTGGAGCTTCATTACTTTCCACAATAAATAAGATCTGCTGAATCTTATGTAATCTGAATTTGGTAAAGCCTGTAAATTAACTACCTATTAGTTTCTTTTCTTGGATGAACTTGACATTGGACAGCACTTCTGCTGACAGCTCAATGGCCTGGTTGAAACCGTTCTCTCCTCCATACGATATGTCAACCAGCTTCAGAACCTTCGCTTGTAACCTCTACATGTGCAGAAGAACCAAATCAGAAAACAAGCAGAATGATGAATTAAGATTGCAAATCATTTGCTACAAAGAGAACATACCGGATCAAACATGTCTGACTGGCTGAGCTCCGTCTTGAAGTCGGCCGATCCGGCAAGAACCAGTCCTGCCACGTTGACCTTGTCATTGGACACGAAGAGTTGCACAGCCGTCTCTGCTACCTTACGCACATAGTTATGTCTCTTCTCCATCCTCAAACGTGCAAATCGAAGAGCAGACTGTCCTCCTCTACCTAGAGTTAAAGGAAACAAACATGTAAATACTAAATTCTACAAAGAACGAAAATAGCCACAGCAAGCGATTTGAAGATGTTTACCGTGTTTTTTGGGCAGGTCCACAGTAAATTTGTGCAACACCTCCCTTGTGTTGCCTTGTAAAGTCCCAAACAGGGCGCCACTACCATCAATCACAATGAAGCCAAACTTGCTGTCGTCTGACAACAGCGCTGTTAGAGCCTGTGGATATAAAAATTATATTAAGTGTTACAATGTAATATATAGATAGATAGATAGGATGTAACGGTACGTGTTTTCATACCGAACGGTTCACGAGGTAAATACCAAATGCTAGTGATCATCCCTATGCCCTACTCCCTTCGAAGGGCAGAGCCCTTGGAGTGGAGACTTTGGAATGAGTAGGGCACGTGTGTGCCATTATGTAGCCGTTTGGAATGCACTTGGCAAAGGGAGCGACCTAATTTCCTCATCTTCAGCTGGCATGTTCCCATGACAACGTAGCACGGTGTCAGTCAGCAGATGTCACCGTTTTAATGGCATAAAAGTCTTTATTGTTATTAGCATAACTGTTGCAAAAAAACATACATTTTATATTTTAAAAAATGTTATATGTCACTTTTCTAAAAATATAAAATGTATGTTTATTTGCAACAGTTATACTAATAGGCATACTAATAGACTAATTGACTGTTTCCTATCCCGTCACGGAGACCGCTGAACGCGCCACTTTAAATGGTTTCGTGGTGCTCGTTGCTGTATTTTAAAACAAAATTGCAATGTTTTCAACTGACATGGCATTAAAAATAAAATTATCCCAAATGTAACTATGGCGCGTGTGGCTGTGCTGTGCAGTCAGTGAACCGCTTCCATCGGCGCTGCTGCAGCAAAACACACTGTTGCTCACATCAAACATTATTATGCGAGTATTATGACCAATACTTAATTTGATCCTGCTGGATCCTGTTCTGGAAAATGTCAGATTTAGAATTTTTGCGTTGCGGTAGGCATATTTGTTTTAAAAAACAGTGCATGTGTGCGTGTGTACGAGACGGAGCGAGTGTGGGTTTGGCAAGATGTATTTGGAGGTTATTACTCGCGTCTCATTCGGCACAAATCCAAATGTGTCCATATTCGCAATGTATTTGAATGTTAAACTATTATTTATAATGTAATGGGCTGGGCTTGCTTTTAAAATAAAAAGTTATATTTTTGGCAAATGTAAAAGCCCTTTCACACCAAAAGCCTCAGTAGTACGCAGAAGAAAGTTTGTTGAATTTTATTTGCTCTTCAGCAATAAAAAATAAAGGAGAAATGTTAGTTTATATTGTGTAATTTTTGCTTATTAGTATGGTTGAATTGGATCATCAAAGGTCAGCAGCAAATTGTCAGCAAAATGAGATTAAATACATAAAGGACATTTGTATTTAACATTTAATTATTGCAGCTTTGAGTCAAATTCTACGGAAGTTCTAAGCGGCCATGCATTTTTTTTTTTTTCCTTCAGTTATTATTTTATGACACAGAACGCGTTGGTGAAACTCATGCATCTAGCAAGAACTTAATACACAAAATAGTCATATTGATTCAAGCATTTAACATTTATGAATGAATTAAATGTCAGTAGCCTAATGAACAATACTGTACAAATTATAGCGATCACGGGGTAGGTCCTATTCTATCCCAAACGCGTACAGTAAAGTGGATACAGTATAGCCTACAACACCCCATCAGTTATATTCAGGTCAATAGTGCCACCTGTTGGCGCAGTTTTGTAACTTAGAGAACAACTTTTTTTATGTCGAGATCACGAGAAAATTAAGTCGTTATAACGACAAAACAACTCTCGTTATGTCGATATATCGAGAAAACAAGGGGAAAAAAATAATAATGCATGGCCGCTTAGAACTTCCGTAATATTCTGAGTTGCTTTTAACGGTTTTTATTAATTTTGAGAAAAACTAAATGTTTTTTTGTGAGTAGTTCTACAATAAATGTGAACGTGCATTAATTAATCTCACTCAAAGTAACATCTTACTGATTTCTCTCAACAAGGGGACAGGAGAGCTTTCAATCAATAAATGGGAAAAAAAGTAACTGGCGTTACTTATTTGAAAAAGTAACTGAGATTTTCTTGTATATTAAAAAAGTAATGCGTTACTTTACTAGTTCCTTGAAAAAAAGTAATCTGATTATGTAACTCCCGTTACTTGTGATGCGTTACCCCCAACACTGGTCACGTGTGTGTAGGATGGCCGAACTTAAGGAGCTTCCCCTGGAACTTACGCGATCGGCAACCAGACGTTTTTTCTTATTGCAGCTCGTCTCTGTTCTGGACTTGCACAAACTGCGTTGCAATGCAATAATTTTCCAAAATGTCATTTATGTGAAAATATGAAGTCTGTAAATACCCGTTAACACAGGCCAGAAACGTTGAAGACGGACGCAAAGAGAAAAATACCATAGCAGGCAGATCACTCACTGTTCATGATGCAAGAACTATTGGAAGAAAATCCTCAATATTGATTTGGGGGTTTATATGAAAGTGTTTGAGGGGAACACTGTCTTCAGAGAAGTTTGTGGTATTTTCTTTTCATCTCGTCTCTGTATAGTTCATATTAAAGCAGTGTTTCAGCGCAGCCCTGCTTTGTTTACAGCGGTAACCAAGGAAACACTGTATCTGCTGTTCCAGAAGCGCCTCCTGCTGTCAGAGAGTGAATCTGCATCTCATTCAGATCGTCTGCTGTTTGTTTCATTCAGGCACGTAGTATAATTTCACAAAGCTAGTCAGAACATTCTGATTTTGCTTCAAATTGGGTTATTATTTAATCAAATTATATATATGAATTATATAACTAAAATTAAATAACAGTAATTACAGATTTAGGTTAAATAAACCTAATATTTCAGTCTTTATTTTTATTTTCTTTAGGAAACAAATCAAAGAAAAAAAATTCTACTGTTACTAATATTCTGTATGTTGCTCAAAAACAAAATATATTGTGTTCAGTGGAAAGTTTTTTATTTTTTATTTTTTGCACAGTCATTTAAAAACACATTTTAGAGCTGTAACAACAATATCGTGATATTTTTGCTTAAAGGGGTCATATGATGCGATTTCAAATTTTCCTTTCTCTTTGGAGTGTTACAATCACGGTTTCAAAACCGCTAATATTTTCCGTTATACCGTTCCTGCGGTATGTGCCATTTTTCATGTCTCCTCAAAGACTGAAAGTGTAGGAATCCCTCAGGTTGAGTGCAGTGTAGAGAGTAACATGACCCTCCTCCTCCTGTTGGTGCGAGCGAGCGGTCAGTCACGTGTAGGACGGCCGAACTAAGGAGCTTCCCCTGGAACTTACGCGATCGGCAACCACCCGTTTTTTGTCTTATTGCAAGCAACTCGTCTCTGTTCTGGACTCAAATGCTGTATCTGGTGTTCCAGAAGCGCCTCCTGCTGTCAAGAGAGTGAATCTGCGTCTCATTCAGAGCTTCTGCTGTTTGTTTGCTTCATTCAGGCATGTAGTATAATTTCACAAAGCTAGTCAGAACATTCTGATTTTGCTTCAAATTGGGTTATTATTTAATCAAATTATATATATGAATTATATAACTAAAATTAAATAACAGTAATTACAGATTTAGGTTAAATAAACCTAATATTTCAGTCTTTATTTTTATTTTCTTTAGGAAACAAATCAAAGAAAAAAAATTCTACTGTTACTAATATTCTGTATGTTGCTCAAAAACAAAATATATTGTGTTCAGTGGAAAGTTTTTTATTTTTTGCACAGTCATTTAAAAACACATTTTAGAGCTGTAACAACAATATCGTGATATTTTTGCTTAAAGGGGTCATATGATGCGATTTCAAATTTTCCTTTCTCTTTGGAGTGTTACAAGCTCTTAGTGCATAAAGAAGATCTGTAAAGTTGCAAAGACTAAAGTCTCAAATCCAAAGAGATATTCTTTATTAAAGTTAAGAGTCACCTATGCCTACCTAAAACGGCTCGTTCTAACACAGCCCCACATATCTACGTCACTATCTGGGAAGACTTGCATAACGCCACCCAAATGTTCACGCAAAGAAAGAAGGCGTAACTTTTTTTTTTTTTTAACACTTTATAGGCATTTCTATTAACGGGGGGGAAAAAATTTAATAATAAAAATTGCAACAAAAAACATCACAGAATATCTTTTATGCCATTAAAACAGCGACCCATTTCCCTCTTTGTGCGGTTTTAACAGCAGAAACAAATAGCTAACAGTTCAAAGACAACAGACACTATCTTCAAAACAACAAACAAATGAGTAACAGCAACGTACATATGTAGGGTATAGGGTACATACATAGGTCTAACAATTAGAGGCTGTTCAGTTTACCATAGTTGTAACTGATGTGAAAGGCTATAAAACAAGACAACAGATCATCAGCAAAATAAATAAATGAACAGATAAATGTAAAAATAATTTTTTTAATTTAAAATTAAAGACCTTAAGTGTAATAATCATAATAAACCAATAATAATAATAAAAATAAATAAATAAAAATCAAGTGGTTGAATGGCATAGAGTTTGTAGGTCCATATTTGTTCCGGTGTTTAGGTAACCTCTCCCTCAGTAAATTGTAAGTCATCAAAATATGTTAAGAAGGGTGACCATGTTTCAAAAAATGTGCATTTTGAGCCTCTGACAGTGAATTTGATTTTTTTCAAGCTGGATAAAATACATCACTTCTTTAACCCATCTATTATGTGTTGTGGGCTCAGTTTTTTTCCAATGGAAGAGAATTAAACGTCTTGCCAACAGTGTAGTAAAGGCAACTACCTTATACCTTCCTTCTGTAAGCACAGTATCTTCGGGACTAGTCCCGAAAACAGCTAAGAGGGGGTCAGGGTCAATAGAAACACCATATATATATCACTAAAAGATTTAAAGATATCTCTCCAAAATCCCTCCAGCTTTGGGCATGACCAGAACATATGGGCTGTTGTGGCTGGCGAATGTAGGCATCTGATGCATGCAGGACTAATAGTAGGATAGATTCTAACCAATTTTGAGTTGGTAAAATGTAGTCTGTTAAGTATTTTAAATTGAATGAGGGAATGCCTGGCACAGGGTGATGATGAATGTACTTTGTCCAAAATACCTTCCCATTTTATATCAGTAAAGTCTCTACCCAGGTCAAGTTGCCATGAAATTTTAACATGGTCTAATCTTTGCAGATCTAAAAAAATGGGACTTGGAAAGGGAAAAATTATGCACAAGCTCCTCAAATTACCAGAAAATATTTAAAAATAAATCTTTTAAGGACCCAATTCCCTGGTCTTCCCACGCCAGAAACGCAGTGTCTATAAAGGATGGGGGGAATAAACAATTGGAGACAATGGGACCAGCAATTGAAGCAGCCTGGAAACCAAAATGCCTCCTAAACTGTGACCAAATTTTTAACATATGCACAACTACTGGATTAGGTGATGTAATAAAGCTCTTTCCTTATATTGGAAGTGGTGCACAAACCAAAGACCTGAGAGAAAATTTGGTGCAGGCTTCCTCCCCTTGCACCCACACTGGAATTGACTTTGAATCCCAATCTGATGCCTAGTACACAACTTTTTGAATATTACTTGCCCAATAATAAAACAAAAAGTTAGGCAATGCCATCCCTCCTTGACGCTTTTCTGCAAAAAGGATTTTCTAATACGAGGGAATTTACCCCCCCCCCACCCCACCCCACAAAAAGGAGCTAATTAACTTATCCAGGTTGGAAAAAAAACATTTTCTTATGAATATAGGTATATTAGAAAATAAGTATAAAAAGCGTGGCAGAACCGTCATTTTAATCAAATTAAGACGGCCAGCCAAAGACAAAGGTAAGGCAGACCATTTCTTGAAATCATGCTTGCAACGTTCTAGGAGTGGGGTAAAATTGGCTATATAGGGATTTACCCCCCCCCCCCACACAAAAAGGAGCTAATATCACAATGTTATAATATTCACTCGCTGAAATAAAAGATAACAGGCTTTTATCTATCAAAATAAAATCTATACGGCTACATGAATGATGTACTCGGGAGAAAAAAGAAAATGCTTTGGAGGAAGGAAAAAAAATTTTTTATATTTAAAGCGAGTTTTTTGGGCAGTGTAGAGTAGGGGTTGAATGACTTCTGATTTTTTGAAGTCGACTTTTATGTGATGAAAGTCGAGTCAAAGTCGACTAGTCGCTGATGACGTCATTAATGAACAAATAAGTCTGGAGCTGTGATAAACAGCTTGTGCACAGCTATGGCATATGACATAGAGCTGTCCACATGGCTGTTGCTCCTATAACAGCTTTTTTTTTTATCAGTTTTTTTGTCTTTGGGTCGTTATATTTCTCAGATTTCTGCTCATTCTAAATCAGATACAGAAAAAGTAGCACAGTAAAGATTACATTCATATAAATGCATTAGTGAGAGTGATTGCATGTGTAAATTAATTCTACCTGGCAGCGTCTCTCTACTAGTAGTGAAGCTGTGGAATTTAGTTAAGAAATATATGCTTGAACTTTTCAGTTTCTAAGCTATTTTGAGAAAATCACAGAACAGTGTTGACAATACATTTCCGCGCTGAATGATTCTGTGCGCGTGATGTACGCGCTACTGTCTGTAGCCTGTGTGTGCGTTACAGTGCAGCAGCGCATTAGATCAGAACGGCGATTAACTTACCTGTACAATAAGCTGTTTAAAACGTGCATTTTCCCATTCAATTTCGATATATCCAGTAATATAATCACACATGTCTTGTGGAGTCATTTGAACTGTTTGGAAACAGAGCGTAAATGTGGAACTCCTTCAAAGATTTCTTACCCTGTTGCGCCCTCTATAGGACCAGCAACTAGTCGACGTCAAGCTTAAAGTGTCATGGCAGAGCATTGAAGTCGACTAGTCGGTGCGACCCCTAGTGTAGAGTAGGGCTTGTTGTTTGTCATTTCTCCGATCACAAATGCAGACATGGTTTTAGGTTTACGCGGCGCGATGCAACGCGTAAAAAGACAGTATATTGTATTTATGCCATTAAAACAGCGACATCTGCTGACTGACACCGTGCTACGTTGTCATGGGAACATGCCAGCTGAAGATAATGAGGAAATTACCGTCGCTCCCTTTGCCAAGTACATTCCAAATGGCTACATAATGGCACGCACGAAGGGGGGGGGGGGGGGGGGGGGAATATGATTTTTTTGCTCAGAAACTCTGTGTTGTGTATTTACATTTTGTTTTAAGGCATAAAACATTCATTTAATCTATCTTTTAAGCAATGAAAATTAAACAATTTTTTTGGAAAATAAAGGTCATTTATATTACAATTAAAACATTGAAGAAATATTGAATGCTTACTCCTTAAAAATAAGGTTTTAATAATTTTAGTAGTAGTAGTACATTCTACTCAACAATAGTAATATATTTCTGCCAATGCCCTCAAGTTAAACCGAACTTTTACTTTGAAGGGTTGCCGTGAATACCATTACATTTCTGTGTGTGTATGACATGATAATAGTTTTATTGAAATGGAACGGTCAAATGCTGATGAAGTGACTCTCAGAGCAGTTCTGGAAATGCTGTTCATGTATTTATGTCCTCATTAGTGAGACGGCAGATGCTAATATCACCGGAAGCGTCACGAGCGTTCCAGTACGAGTACTACACAAAACCGCGGCATTCATTAACACAGAGACACGCAGAATTCATATTTAAATATGAATCGTTTTGCGGCTTAATATTTACAAATACTAGTGGGAGTGGGCTCACTTGTGTGTGTGTGTGTGCGCGTGCATCGGGCGGAACTCCGCTGTGCGTGATACAGAGAGCGCGACCATAACGTAGAGACTGAAATGACATGCCGTCATGTAAATAGGATAAATAACATAAGGCTATTTAGTTTGCTTAATGAAAGAACAAGGTATAGACATGTTCAATAAGAAAGGTAACTTTAAATGACTTCTGTTGTGATCTGGCGCTATAGAGAAAATATAATTAAATAAAATTAACTTGACCTTCAAGGGGGGTGGGGGGGTGCCGTTGGGGGGACGGGCCGCCCCCCTAAAATAATGGCAGGGGAAACACTGACTTCCATTTGGAATTTACCCGGTAAACTGTTTGGTACGAAAACACGTACACTTACAACCCTAATAGATAGATAGATAGATAGACCTTACCTCAGTATGGAACTTGTTGTCACATAAATACAAGGATGTGTTGATTGGTTTAAAAGGCTCAAAATCAATGTTTACTTTCTTCTCTTTGCCTTCCTCTGTCACTATGGTGCCACAATACACCACCAGGCCATTAGGAGGCACTGCAAGATAAATATAAGACTTATGGGAGGGGATCAGGAGAGACCACACCTATTGAAAAGATTAAATCAGGCACAACGCCCAATCGTACCCAAACATACACGGCAAATATGTATGAACTGCCAGTTTAATATTTAAACGGCATCATTTTGGAAAAGAGAAACATACCAAATACAATAAAAATTTTAAATGGCTGTGAAATATCTTAGATCAGTGGTTCTCAAACCTGTCCTGGAGTACCCCCCAGCCCTACACATTTTGTATGTCTCCCTCATCTATCACACCTGATTCAACTCATCAGCTCATTAGTGGAGACTGCAAGATCTGAAGTGGGTGTGTCAGATATAGGGAGACATACAAAATGTGCAGTGCTGGGGGTACTTCATGGAGAGGTTTGAGAACCACTGTCTTAGGCCCCGTCCACACGGAGACGCGTTTAGCTGTATACGCATACATTTTGTATCGTATAGGCGTTTCGTCCACACGGATCCGGCGTTTTGGGAGAGTGAAACAGAGGCACAGAGTGGATAAATCTGAAAACGCCACCCTTGTGTTTTCGTGTGGACAGCGAATCCGTAAATTTTCTGAAACTGTGACATCATCAGCCCACGTCTCGCCCCTAGTCAGACACCGCTACGTCACGTAACAGCAACAAAAACATGAACAAACACTGCACGATTGTCTTTTTATTAAAGTACCCCTGTAGTCAAATTTTATCCTTTAAAACTCACCTTTGATCATCAAAATTACATATTTAAATGTTTTTTCTTGTGAAAATACTTTTCCTTTGCCTTAAAGGGGACCTATTATGCAAAATTCACTTTTGCAAGGTGTTTGGACATGAATGTGTGTTGGCAGTGCGTGTACACAACCACTCTATAATGATAAAAATCCACCTACTCCTTTTTTTTTTTTTTTAAATCTCCATAAAATAATAAGCAGTGTCTCCCAATGGCCTATTTTTAGCATTGGTGCTAATGTGACGTCACATTAACCACAGGCCCCACCCACGAATGTTGATAGACACTGCCGTTTCAACATAGAACAGCCCTGAGCGAGTTCTACACAGTCCGCCATTGATGCACTGTCTCCCAAGCGTTTTAGGTGTTCTGTAGCTGGATGTATTAATCCACATAGCTCTCTCCATTTACTCCCGAAATCTGATCCGCTGAAGACTAGGTGGATTCATTTTGTTTTAGAAGAAAATGCTCCCTCAACACAAATTTGTTTATGTCTGCACGAATCATTTTACACTGGACTGCTTTGTGAATGAGGGTCAGTATAAAGCAGGTTTTGCACAAAAGTTGCTCCTGAAGGATGGAGCAGTGCCAACTGTTTGTGATCCAGCTAACGTTATGCCATCTAGAAGTAGTAAGTATCACGCGTTTGAGCTTCTTGGCACTCTGTAAGGCTAATGTTGCTAAAGCTACCATTGTCTGTCTGTTTTCACTGATGCTGCCTTCACGTGCTACCAGAATGATCGTGAATAAGAATGTGGTAGTTAAAAATTGCATATGAAAGCAATCTGAAATCGACCGCTTGAATTTGTCTAGCTCATAATCATATTCGGGACTTATAAAGTTCGTGTTAGCATGCAATGGCACCATGAGACCAGCTATGTTGTTATTTTTATAGCGCGGTGCAATAATCTGGCAGGGTGCAGAATTGGCATGACACCGGTTCGAACATATATGGCTGAACACCACTATTAGCAGTTTCTGACATTTTCAGTGCGTGAGAGAGTTTTGTTATTGCTGGCATGCCGGTGCGCGAGCTCTAGAAACTCCACCCTCTTTTTACTAGCGGACAACTACAGTGGATACTGTAACATTCGTTAAATTTACTTGATGTTGTGTCCTCAAAATGCCTTGAAGACTCAAATGCAGTCAAGTTTGTGATTCCAAATCGCGCCCGCGATCATACGCGTGTGACGTGCGGCTGTCAGTGCATCTGACTCCGGACTACCTTTACACTGCTGTTAAGAACTACCTTGGTAATATATGGGTATATTGTAAACTACCTTTACAATATACCCAGTTAATGATATGCTAAGGATAGGATCCCTTGACGCGATTGGTTACAGAATTTTGTGACTTAGCAAAAAAAAAAAAGAAAAAGGGTGTTTCAAACCACATTTCTGTGACTGTCTTTGGGGAAACTACAGTTTTGAGAAAATACTCCGCAATGGTGTTGATAAATGGATTGGCACATGGTTTGTCACTAGGTGGATTCATTTTGTTTTAGAAGAAAATGCTCCCTCAACACAAATTTGTTTATGTCTGCACGAATCATTTTACACTGGACTGCTTTGTGAATGAGGGTCAGTATAAAGCAGGTTTTGCACAAAAGTTGCTCCTGAAGGATGGAGCAGTGCCAACTGTTTGTGATCCAGCTAACGTTATGCCATCTAGAAGTAGTAAGTATCACGCGTTTGAGCTTCTTGGCACTCTGTAAGGCTAATGTTGCTAAAGCTACCATTGTCTGTCTGTTTTCACTGATGCTGCCTTCACGTGCTACCAGAATGATCGTGAATAAGAATGTGGTAGTTAAAAATTGCATATGAAAGCAATCTGAAATCGACCGCTTGAATTTGTCTAGCTCATAATCATATTCGGGACTTATAAAGTTCGTGTTAGCATGCAATGGCACCATGAGACCAGCTATGTTGTTATTTTTATAGCGCGGTGCAATAATCTGGCAGGGTGCAGAATTGGCATGACACCGGTTCGAACATATATGGCTGAACACCACTATTAGCAGTTTCTGACATTTTCAGTGCGTGAGAGAGTTTTGTTATTGCTGGCATGCCGGTGCGCGAGCTCTAGAAACTCCACCCTCTTTTTACTAGCGGACAACTACAGTGGATACTGTAACATTCGTTAAATTTACTTGATGTTGTGTCCTCAAAATGCCTTGAAGACTCAAATGCAGTCAAGTTTGTGATTCCAAATCGCGCCCGCGATCATACGCGTGTGACGTGCGGCTGTCAGTGCATCTGACTCCGGACTACCTTTACACTGCTGTTAAGAACTACCTTGGTAATATATGGGTATATTGTAAACTACCTTTACAATATACCCAGCTAATGATATGCTAAGGATAGGATCCCTTGACGCGATTGGTTACAGAATTTTGTGACTTAGCAAAAAAAAAAAAGAAAAAGGGTGTTTCAAACCACATTTCTGTGACTGTCTTTGGGGAAACTACAGTTTTGAGAAAATACTCCGCAATGGTGTTGATAAATGGATTGGCACATGGTTTGTCTAAAAGCATATTAAAAACACCACAGACAAATAAACAACAAAAAACCTTGATTTTCACCACAGGGGGACTTTAACATTAACACAGAATAATATATGTATTGTTCCATGTTCGTTTGTATACCACGCAAAGGTTTATGCACATAGTCCAAGTCTTCTCCGTTTTTAGTGTATCTCTGTGGCAGAATTACAGCGCCACATACTGGTCTGGCATGTATACTACATTTTGTGGTTTCATGTGGATGCAGATAATTCTTGAGACGAGGGGGGAAAAAAAAGATTGGATGGTGAAAGCTCTGGCTTTGTGTGGACGTAGCCTCAGATAAAGCTAAGCCCACTCATTTACCTTTGTTGTAGAGTTTGAGTCTCTGCTGTACTGAGGTAATGGCTCCCAGCACGGAGAGTCTGTTGACTCTGCTCTTGATGTTCGAAGCCGTGCCGAACTCGTCAGCCAACATCTTGGCAACACGTGAGATCTGATCCTTGGGTGGGATGATGAGGGAAATCATACTGGTGCCATTTCTGAGGAGAAAACAATATAACAACAATATAAAAGCAGACTGAGACTTTAATTAACATACACTACCTTTCAAAAGTTGTTTAGATTTTTTTTTTTTTATGTTTTTGAAAAGTCTCATGCTCACCAAGGCTGCATGTATTTGATCAAAACAGTAATATTGTGAAATATTGTCAGATTTAAAATGTATTTTCTAATTTAATATATTTTAAAATGCAACTTATTCCTGTAATGAAAAGCTCAATATTCAGCAGCCATTACCTCCAGTCTTCAATGCCACGTGATCCTTCAGAAATCATTGTAATTTCTAATATGCCGGTTTGGTGCTCAAGAGACTTTTCTTTAAAGTGTCAAGTCAATATATGATACAACTAAACTGTTTATAAAAAAATTGAGTCAGCATTAAATTCATTTACATTGTTCCATAACCAAAAAATGATGACTGAGGCGGTCAATCTGCTTAACCATTCAGTTTCACTGTAAAAAAAGACGACAAAAAAAGAGGGAACAAAAGGAATGCCACTGAAAGAAAGAAAAAAAGAGGGTTTAAATCAACATGGCTGTCAGAAAAAGACAGACAATTCATTTTTGGGGTGAATTATATCTTTAACAAAGGTGACTGGCTTTATTACACCATTAAACAATGATACAATATTCAACTACAACAATTGTATCACAACCGTTATATTAATATGATGTTTAAAAATACTACAAGAGAAACAAAACATGTAGCATATTTAGCATGGTTTCACTCATTTAACACACGTCGCCTCAACCAACCTTTCTTTAAGGCGTCGTCTGGAAGGTGCTTCACATTTCAAACGACACCACATAACATTTCCCGCTCTTTATCCTTCAACCAACACTATTATCGAAATAAAGACCTAGTGCGCGGTCTCGTTCTCCATCCACCGTGCTGTTCTCTCCAACAGCTGTTAGCAAGCTTGTTAGCATGTGGTCCCCAAACAACAAAACGAATCGCACATCAGAGGTGCTACTGTTTGTCATTCAACACCTGTAAACAAATCTAGAGGATCCTCACCCTCTAGCCGCCTCAAGGCTTTTGATCAACTTCTTAATCTTCCAGATTTCCACGTTCCTGTCCGCTGCGCTGGGGTCGTCCGCCATCTTCCTCGCGCTGTCTGGACCTGCTGAGAAAGAGAATCCAACTTTAGCTTGCGAGCGCGAAGAGCTTGAATTAGCGGTTTTCAGGGCGGAACATTCACTATTTAAATCCCGAAAGACCGACCGGGTATAAGACAGAAGTGTGATTTGATTAAAAGGAGGTTTATTGTGAGTAGAAGAGAAAAGCACGACTATAGTTGGACGCGCTAACTGGCTAAGCAGCCCTGCGCGCGGCCCTCTCGCGCCCGAGAACATCCACGCCGCGCGCCGCTTGCGCGAAACCACCCTTCTGCACTTCATCTTATTTTTAACACGTGGTCCGTTTTCTCGAAGCAATTTCGTTATCGGACATTACTGCAATGTACTCACAGACTACAATTATCCGCTCCGCCGCGTCCGTACGGCAGTTACGTTGTGGTCCAGAGCTCGGCCGCCGCTGCTTCTCAGTGAGGTGATATACTGACCGTTAGCAGCCGGTTCGGTCCTGCTGCGCGTGGTGCTTCGGTGGAGGCTCACGTGGGGGGAAAGGCAGAAATTCCACTTAGTATCACTTCCTGAAAACGCCACGCATGGGGTGTATTTGGAGCTTTGTGATTGGAGGATCTTGCTGTCAAATAAAAAGGGTGGAACAATTACTTATTTTTATTTATAAATAATTTATTTAGTGACAACACGCATGAGTAGATGCAAAATAACGAAAGAATATAGTAACAATAAGTAATGAAACAAATAATAAAAAATAAACAACACAAAAGATAAATAATTATATGGGGTAGTGAAATAAAATCAAATTCTGAATTGCTTCGCTTACAGTAAAGAATAGTTTCACTCTTTTATTACTGTAATACATTTATTTGTTGTTTGGCAATTTCAGTTTTCAAATGAGCTTATTTTTGATTTAAAAAAATGGCATAACAATAAAATTCTTAATTTTTTTTAGGCAAAATATAACCTTTAATTTCTTTATTTTCCTTTTAGCTAAAATATGACCCAGACTCTTGACGGTTTTTGTGTTTGTTTCAAAACTGCAAGAAATAGTTTACATGTTTGTTTATAAAAATACTAATAATACTGAAAAATAGCTAAAATACTATTAATAACAGGTTCAAGCAGGCACTTTTAATATACTTTTATTTACAATACATTGTCATAATATTCAGTAAAACACATAGCTGTTTTCATTCACTTCAATTTTACATAAAGAAAACCAAGCCTTCCATTAGGATCATTTTGCATTGATTTTTTCTTTTTTGCAGGAATTAAAATTATTTGATATATTATTTTATTATTTTCTATTATATTTTATTTTATTGCATTATGGACTTGGAAGGGGAATTTGTTTAAATGTCATGGAAATCATGTCACAATGTAAAACAGGTTTAAAAAAAAAAGGCTTAATTTTCTTTAGGCAAAATGTAATAACATATTTCTTCATCATACATGATTTAAGAGAGAGAGAGAGAGAGAGAGAGAGAGAGAGAGAGCGATGGTATTGCATCTCTGTCCAGGTCCTGAAGTTCCTCATGCACATTTTGGCTGACTATATTACTCACGTCCAGATGTCAGTACATTATTCTTTTCATTGCTTATTTGGCTTATAATGGACGCTGGCTGGCTGAGGTGTTATGCGGTGGCAGAGCCATAGAAAGAGAGAGTTGCGTCAACGGAAGTCCAAAACGCTCGATCGTCACGTGATTCACTTAGACCTCAACTAGTTCCAGGAAGTTCATAGCGGGCAATTGAAATACAATTGAGTTGGATCAGAATCAGAATGAGCTTTATTGCCAGATATGTTTACACATACGAGGAATTTGTTTTCGTGACAGAAGCTTCCACAGTGTAACAGAATGTCAGTGACAGAACAAAAAACACAGATAATAAAAATAAAAATAGAACAAGTAAATAAGGAATAAAAATATATAAATTGACAATTGTGTGTGCAGGTATATTACAATAGACAGTTTTTTTTTTTGCATGTACAGGTACTGTATGTTATGTGCAAATTTGAGGTGTAGGCTGAGTATGAGTGTTAGATAAATAAGTGTATGAGTGAATAAATAGTGTGTGTTCCACAGTTATTGTCAGGTGTTCATGAGATGGATGGCCTGAGGGAAGAAACTGTTCCTGTGTCTGGTCGTTCTGGTGCTCAGTGCTCTGTAGCGTCGACCAGATGGCAACAGTTCAAAGAGGGAGTGTGCTGGATGTGAGGGGTCCAGAGTGATTTTGCCAGCCCTTTTGCTCACTCTGGACGAGTACAGTTCTTGGAGAGAAGGGAGGGTTGTACCAATGATTCGCTCAGCAGTCCGGACTACCCTCTG